TGGCTTTCCAAGGCCGGGAACCTTTACGAGAGCAAAACTCCTCATCGTCTCCCGCAGAGCCGCTAGTGGGTTCAAACTAATGACCTTTCGAGAAAAGTCTAACTCCTAATAGCAGCCCAACTCATAATCCATATGCCACCAGTGCTCCTAGAACCCTGGAAACTGGAATGCAATGAACAAGAATTGTGGGAATGTCACCATGTCATACAACAATTTGTATAGATATTGTCAAATTGAAATTTAATAATATACATATTATTTTTGTATATTTTTAATGATAGGTGCCCTGATGTATATCATATATGTGTGTATATGTGTCAATACGCATACATATATATAACCATAAGACTATATATATGAGATGTGTGTGCCAGTTTGCAAAACCTGCAGCACTATTACCCTGTTCTAAACCAAGATCGTCTCTTCTTGAGTTATTGCAAGAATCTCTTAGGGTCTCCATTGCTCATAAATGCTTCTGCTTTTCCCTCCCTACAGTCTGTTTTCAAAACAGCAACCAAAAAGTTACTTTCAAAACGTAAGAACATGTGTGACTTGAGCTACCCCAAACCATCTAAGTTCCCACCTCACACAACCAAAGTGCTACCCCATTCCGCCGCCTTCTTCCCCACCATATCTCTCTCCAGACTCATGGCCTACGACTGGATTTCTCATCCCAGCCACACAGCTCCTCGTGCTGGTACAATTCAAACCTTCTGTCTTCCGGGAATCGTCCTTTCCCTTTCCCACATATCCATAGCCTTCAGTTCCTTCAGACTTCAGTCAAAAAGTTTTCTCCCTAGTGACACCTGCTCCCTCTAATTCTCTGTTGCTTCATTTTTCCTATAGTATTTATAACCACTTGTCATGCTTTGCATTCACTCAATCATTTCTTTGTATAAATACGTATTTTATATACATATTCTCCTCAATGTAAGCTCCATTATAACTTAGTACTTGCTAATAATTGATGTTAATGAGTGAATACATAGATGCAAAGATAAATGTTATGTAGAAAGAATTGAAAATGTTATGAAGAAAGAATTGACAGTGCTTGCTTAGAGATTGACTATGATTTGCGGCCAACCACTTCCTCCATTTGGGAATCAACTCTGTCATGTGCAAAGTGAGCAGTTGGGCTAGATGCACTCCCAGTTTGCTCTGCCACTGAGAGGCCATGATTCTATTGACACCAGATTTTAACCAGAGAAGCTAATCAAATAAAAGTAACATGAAGAAAGGGGGGGGGGATCATCAAATAATCAATGCTTTGCCTTATAGACAGCTAGTCTACACAGCAAGGGTTTTTAAGCTCTTAACTTATATCAGCGGTTCACTACCTGTGGGTCGCGATGCCTTTGGGGGTCGAACAACACTTCCATAGGGTTCGCCCAATTCATAACAGTAGCAAAATTACAGTATGTCATAGAAATGAAAATAAATTTATGGTTGGGAGGTCACTACAACATGAGGAACTGTATTAAAGGGTCGTGGCATTAGGAAGGTTGAGAACCACTGGCCTATATATTTTTATAGAAATAGAAAAATGAAT